AGCTTGTGACGGGGACGGCTGAGAGCTGACTAAACGAACTGTAGAAGCAGACTTTACAAATGAATTAAATAATTATATAAAATCAAATTAAGTATATATTTACATAATAAATTAAAATATTTATAAACAGCATTATGACAGACAGGTATAATATAGTAACTATATACAATAGCACCAATAGACAGCAGAAATAGCTCATTATTACACGCCACCCTTCCTCACCTCGGTCATTAAAAAGGAGACTGCTGGAACATCTGCGTCTCATCCCCTGGTCCATGGTACAGGGAAGAATACTTTGCCGGGCAGTAGATGTATTTCCTGACCGACCAGGGAATTGTGTATGAATGTGAGGAGACTGGTCCCTGCTTCAGCTGCAGTTTGGCAGAAACCAGCACGTTTTCTCACCAGTGGAGGAGGAGGACTCATCACTCTACCTTTTCTTCTCCTGCCGGCTCATTCACTCTCTGCAGCGATGGCGCCTCCAGCTCTCTCTGCTGGCAGAACTCAGTTCCAAAAAGTCTCGGAATGGCATCCGGAGTTGGTCAAACCCTCTGTGCGATAGTGTTATAGACCTTGGTTGAGTCAGTAGAAATACCTGGTAGGACCCCGGCTGGTAAAACTCGTGGAAGGAGCTGCCATCCTCGCCCTCATATTTGGATTTTTGCTGGCCACAAACAGGCATTTCTTTGTGTGGGATTATTTGCTGGAGGCTGCTGCAGCTTATTACCCAAGATCCGCTCACAACCTTCTATATGGCCTCCTCAGACAGCGTTGACATGAGTCTGCAGCAAGGAGGAGGGGGGTTCACTGGCTGCAGGGGCATGGTGACAACAAGGCACAGTTCCGGCTTAACTGGCCTGCTGTGAGCGAAGTATATCCCCCACACTTCAGCCTTGTCTGAGGCATCACCTCCACCTCACTCCGCAACCAGAGTGGAGGGCGTACCTCCTTCATCAACACCGCCTCCCTCTGAGGAGCCCCGCACTCCCTCATGGACGGGTCGTCCCTGAACATCCTCGCCTTCCCCCCTCCGGAAGTCCTGCAGCAGGAAATCCACGTGGGCCCTTGAGAAAAATCACAGTGACCGGCCAAAGGAAAGAATGAAAGTCTTCAATAATTATTCCCTGTACAGGCCCACCCACATTCATGTTGCATTTTATTGACCATTTTACTGAACTACTTTCATCTCGAGTGCACAGATTTTGATAGTTTTAGTTATTACAGTTGGATTTTAAATTAATGTAATGTTGATAATGTTGAGACAGAAATGCAAAGGCGCTGCTTTCTTACTTGAGACCTTTGGTTTCATTCAGCACATGAGTGCCCCACCCACAGCAGGGGGCACACTCATGACCTGCAAATTACAAAGGGGTTAATGGTATCCAATGTTAATGTAGTAGATGATGCTTTTGTCCAGATCATTTTCTGTGTATTTTTTGACATGTTGTTTTTGCTAGCAACCCCAGCTGAATTTACAATTGCTTGAAGAAGATTGTCTCCACTTGATCCATTTCTACTATTGTTCCTGTTCGCTGTTGACCACAGCATGCAGCAGGAGACACGGGGATGATGCGTTCACGGCTCGCTGCTGCTGTAGGACACGCTGGTTACGGTGTCATTAATATATTAACTTTATTTAATAACTTGTTGTCAATCAACGGACATTGTTATTAATATATATATATATATGCATATCATTATGTATAAAAATCATTTAAAAATAATTATAATAATAATAAAAAAGAAACATATTTACAAAAAGAAGCCCGAGCCCGGCACGAACCCGACAGCTGAGCGCCAAATGAGGCCCGAGCCCGGCCCGAACTCAGGTCGGGCCTCGGGCCTGCTCGGGCTCGGGCTGAAAAGCGAAACTCTAATCCAGAGTGATCATGGGCCTCTTGACTGCATCTCTGATCAGTCTTCTCCTTGTTTGAGATGAAAGTTTGGAGGGACGCCCGGGTCTTGGTAGATTTGCAGTGGTCTGATACTTCCATTTCAATATAATTGCTTGCACAGTGCTCCTTGAGATGTTTAAAGCTTGGGAAATCTTTTTGTATCCAAATCCGGCTTTAAACTTCTCCACAACAGTATCTCGGACCTGCCTGGTGTGTTCCTTTGTCTTCATGGTTCTCTCTGCGCTTTAAACAGTACCCTGAGACTATCAAAGAGCAGGTGCATTTATACGGAGACTTGATTACACACAGGTGCATTCTATTTATCATCATCAGTCATTTAGGACAAAATTGGATCATTCAAAGATCCTCACTGAACTTCTGGAGTGAGTTTGCGGCACTGAAAGTAGAGGGGCCGAATAATATTGCACGCCCCACTTTTCAGTTTTTTATTTGTTAAAAAAGTTTAAATTATCCAATAAATTTCGTTCCACTTCACAATTGTGTTGTTGTTGTTGATTCATGACAAAAAAATAATTTTATATATTTGTTTGAAGCCTGAAATGTGGCGAAATGTTGAAAGGTTCAAGGGGGCCGAACACTTTCGCAAGGCACTGTAAATATCATTACAGTTGAAAAAGGAATAGTATTCATAAGTTTGCACATACACATTTTCAAAATCAAATACATGGGACTATCCAAACGAGCAAGAGGATTAATTCATCCACTTTTCAATTGAGATTTTGTGGCAACTTGAGAAGAGATTTCAGCCAATATCTGTTTTTTTAAAACATAACAATGTATTTTTCACTTATTTTCTTGGGAAAACAACCACATTGTTTATTTTACTCCAATTAGTAATACTTATGTCTTTATTTATGTAAACTATTGTTCAAGTCTATAAGCCTTCTTTCCCATTTCAGCAGTTGTGGCCATACCTGCATGTGAAAGCCAGATCCTGCCAGACCTCTGAAGCCAGGCAGGGCCTGGTTAGTACTGTGATGGGAAGCCTTTGGGGACACCAGGTGCCAGTGAGGTGACTGCAAAGTTCTGTTATGTCTTTGAGTGTCCAAAAAAGCGCTATATAAAAACCGATGCATTGATATTATGATTACGTCTGTGTCTATCCAAATTGAGTACATTACTGTAATCACTGTTCTGGGGGAAAAAAATCTGACAAATAATTGACTAGTTAATTGACTAGTTTGTTAAATAATCCAATAATTCCATAATGCAGAGAATAAACAGACAGATGCAAAAGAGGAGCTATAAATAAAAGATACCCATAATATATACCAAATTAATTCAACCTGAAATAAAAGAAAAATCAGCCTTTAAAATGGAAATGCAAACCAAGAAATCTCAAACAATTTAAAGGAGAGAAAACAATCTTTATTTAAATTAAAACCTACATATAAATGCAGCAGTGTTTTGTATGGACCAACACAGCTTGTGCTCACCACAAAGTGAGGAGAGCAGAATACTTGAAGACGGCAGAAAAACCCAAACAGCATGAACTCAGTGTCCAACAGCATTCATATTGCTTTGTAAGCATGAGGGTCAGGCTCACGTGAAATAAGCATTTGCAATTTAAATTCAACGATCTATATGTATTTTTGAAAGTCCCCTATTTTATGGACACACAGAGTTTGTTTTCAAATCTTTGGCCATTTTTACATACATTTTTATTTTATAAGTTTCATTATTAGGAAAGTTAGTAACCCCAGCTGTACGTCATTTGAGGTTGCAAAAGACATACATTTATGAAGTTTGGAAATCACAGTAGGGATTGTGGTCACATGCACCGTCATATTTGACCTTTTATGAAAAAATTTTAAAATAGTTATTTTTATTTAAAAATGCAATGGACATAATGCCAATAGGAGTTATGTTAACAATATTCAAACAGATATTCTAAATAGAGCAGCGTAAAGGATTTTCTTTGGGTTGCCCGTTTGTTAAGTAAAATTTAGCTGGTCTTGGCAGTCTACTTTTTTTATAACAAAATGTACCAAAAGGCTGATATAAATAAGTAGGTAAATTCAATAGTTCATACCGTTTCTAGCTAAAACCCAGCAGGTGGATTGCATCAGTAATCAGTGCTTAGGAGCTACATGTTGAAGATGCTTTGTGTGGCTTTATTAGAACTTTTAATTATACTGTTACGCATTTGGATCTTAAAAAAAGTGACATGTCATAGTAATTAAATATATAAAATTGTAAATGCAAAATACCAATATGGTTTTCCTCAATCCGTATGTTAATTGTTAAAGAGACCACTCAAGATTTATAATCGTAAAGAGTAATTGCAAATGCAGTATTTCAATGTCACGCAGCATGGATTGATACCACCATCAAAACCCCACATTTCACATTAGTCCCTGTTATCCAGGCCTTTTCAAGCTCAAAGCTATTGCACATTCAGACGAGTCTCTTTTGGAACCAAATACCAGCAATTTTCAAACTGTTAAAATATTGTTCATGGAAGAAAAACAAACCAACAAAACAAAAAAGGCAACCCATGCACTAGTAGACCACAGCAAGAAAACAGAGTGACACTTCTGGAGTTTGAAGAATCACAAAAGGATTGGAGGATCCTTCACAAAGTAATGTAGGGTTGTTGGGGGTAATTCACAGCCTCTGAAATAATTGTCCAGTGTGCAGGGACTGTCAAATTGATGATATTTGGTCAGAAAGAAATGTAAATTTTGATTTATACAATTTTCTGATGGTCGACTATAATCTTTCTAACACATTAAGCCTGCTGATGGAAGGACGTTTTTTTTGCTTCTCTTATTATTAAAAAGAACATTCCATACGTTTGGTTTCCATTTTGCCATTATCGAGTGCAGCAAACCAGAAATACTGTCAAAAATTTGTAAAAACTCAAGAAAAGTGAAATTCTCAACAACAAAAAAAGACAAAAACCTTAAAAAAAACCAAACGCATTCTCGACCATTCTCAACACGTTTATTTCCTGCATTTGAACGCTTTGTATTAAGTCTGTCCGCACAGCTTGGAAGCCTCAGCACCCCCCCCCCCCCCCCCCCCCCCCTCCCGCTTTTTTTTTTTTACATTGTCCTCTTGTTTGGAACATGTTGGGGCCGCCTAAGTGCCCACTATGGCTGGGTCGTGGGCTGAGGCGGGCAGTGTGGACTCTGTGCAGTGGTACAGGAAGCAGTTCCCCCAGCAGCTGTAGCAGATGAGGAAGAGTGCGGCGAGGAAAACCAGGGCACAGATGGTGCAGGGCTTGCGTTCCAACAGGAAGCTAAGCAGGTAGAAGCCCATGAACATGGAGTGGTTGAACCAGAGCGCCGGGTTGAGCGGCTTGGGGATGAGGAGCACCGGCAGCAGCCACTGGAGGCAGTACATGATGGTGGTCTGTAAGGGGGGGGGGGGGGGGTGGTGTTGCTTGCAACAGCAGAGAGGATGAGAAGAGCAGCTCAGTCAGGTCATCATCCCTGGGGAGACAAGCAGGACACATTAGAGCTAGTACTATAGACAAGTTTTTTTGGCAAAACCATGGAACTTCTGTGCTGTTCTGGACTTCCGTTTAGCTCTTAGCGCGGCTTACACAACTCCAGATCAGGCCAAAGAGAGAGGATCATTCTACGTTCTCAGAATATAAAATGGATGCAGCAAAAGGCAAGAAGGGCTCTGGGACATTCTGTGCGGATCGTGGTTGTACTAATTCATGGAAACGCTTGGCTGTATGGCTGGAAGGAGAGTGTAATGAGTATTCTGTATGAGAAGCTAATGGCTAACTAAGTCCAGGCTCGAGCAAGCAGCTTTGAATTTCAAAAAGTTTCCTAAAAAGTATATGCTTCACTTTGTTGATAAAAAGCCTACTGAGGAAAATCCTTTCGCAGAACTTTTGTTGGGATACAAGCAGCTACAAGAAGCGGGTGTGGATGTGCTCCTCCAGATGCAGTGAATGAGAAGCTAACTACGAGGCTCCAATTCTCTCAGTAAGTCTTTGTATGTTTAAATGGTTAGCTACACATCGTGTAATAACTTAAAAACATCCTGCAATTATTATTTTGTTGTTCGTGAGTTGTATGTGTAATCTATACAATAACAGTTTAGTTTAGTTGATAAAGATCCCCATTAGCCACTGAGATGCAATGGCTATTCTTTCTGGGGTCTCCTTAAAATAACATACAGGGTCTTACACATTTTTTTATATATAATTCCTCTTACACACACGACGACATGAAAGCTCATTGAGAAATCAATCACAAACTATATAACAATTACAAAGTACCCAACAACAACACAGATATATACAGATTTGCATAGGAAATAATCAAATTGTTTACATTCGTAGAAAAGGAAAAAAACTATTCTAATAATAATAATAAATAAAATAATTAACTGCCAGAACCCCGTGGCTTCAGTCCCACTCAATTATACAATATATTCTCATATACATACCCTTTTACACATACGTACGTTTATTTTTACACATTTTATGTATATTAATACTGTACATAATTGTATTTATATTATTGTGATTTTTGTCTCTCTGAAATTGCTGCAACACAGTTCTCAACGGTCGATCACAACAACGCATTAGCAAGGACGGACATCGCCAGAAACAAAGCAACACAGGCCGAGACCGATTTTATTACGTTGTTCTTCACTTGGTTATTAAATTTCTTCAGCAGCGACTGGCATCTTTGAGACTCACTCTGTATATGTTAAGATCTTGTAGGTTTTATATCCCACTGTTTAGTTTTCAATGCACCATTGTTATTTGTTAGTAATCAATACAGGTCATTGGTGTCTATTCTAATTACTTTGTTGCTATGAAGGTACAGGTGCCTGATAGCATTTCTATCTAGACAAACAGACCAAGAACTCTTTAAACGTTCTGTTCGGCAGCATACTGGTAGGAGCCTGTTGCTTTGATTACTCCTCTGAGCGGCCATAGTGTCATGCAGAGGGTGTCTGGAGTTATCCAGGATGCCCTGCATTAGAGCCCTGATCCCTCTCTCCAGCAAAGCTCCCACAGAGTCCACACTTCTCCCCATCACAGAGACATTTCCTGATCAGCCTGCCGAGCCGGTTACTGTCTCTCGAGGTCAGACTGCCACCCCAACATGCCACCCCAAAGAACACGGCACTAGCTACTACAGACTGGTAAAATATGTGCAACATTTGACTGCTCACATCGAAAGACCTGAGGCTGAGTTCATACAGAGGCGCTGCCCAGACATTTCCAGGCTATTAACAGAAACGGCCAGGCTCCTAATGCAAATATCACAGCGTTCATACGAGGATCAAAAACTATGTAGTTCTAGCGCCCGGCCAGTAGTGGGCAGAGGAACTTTACAAAACGACACACGCGACCCCCAGCCCAGCTCAGGTTGTATAGTTCTGTTACAGATGGAAGCCAATATAAACGTTGCATGGCTCTATAATAATAACTGGATAGCTTATAGCTGTCCCACTATGGGCACAGGGGGCGCCCGTGGTACTGCAGACTAAATTCACGCGGGCAACCCAGAAAAAGTCCCATAGAACTCAATGTATATTAAAACAGCACGACCTCAGCTGACAGAGAACCTACAGCTTTCATAAAGATCGGATTTTGTGGGGATTTTAGTGTCCCTTGTCATCCTGAACTTTTTTTCTTCTTAATTCCTTCGGTTTTCTTTAAATCCACACTTAACTGCCACAAACTCTGCTCCCTGCCTTCTCGCTTCTCGGCCGAGCCCCTCTGTGCGCGTGTGTAACTAGATGATTTTAGTTGTTAATGCAGTTACGTGGAGTGTCCAGCAGGGGGAGACGCTCTTGAGCTTCACCTAGGCTACGTCTTTCCTCATTCATAAACCAGCAAGGCTTGAGGAAAGACGTGTCCTGGTCTTATTTTTATTTTATCCCCTTTTCAGGTATGGTATGATATGCAGAATGTCATAAACCAGTCATTATTGTTTTATATTGAGTCAATGTATCTGAACTGAATCCAGAGTGATAATTTAGTCTAGTAGGCTGTTGTTTCAAGGAGCTCCGCTAGTTGCTAACCAAATTAGCATTAGCTTCTCGTTGCTAGCGCGGGAACAGTGGAAATCGTTGAATGTTAATTTAAATGTGTCCAAATGTAAGAAAGATTGTTTTTCTGATTCATAAACCAGCAAGGCTTGAGGAAAGACGTGTCCTGGTCTTATTTTTATTTTATCCCCTTTTCAGGGCTATTACATTTGGAGGCACCGCTGGGATTCGAACCCAGGATCTCCTGTTTACCAGACAGGAGTAAGAAGAAACGCGGCTCGAGTGAGGTCTGAAAATATAGTCTATGGGTCTGGCGGTCGGAAAGCGATCTTCTTGAAGTGCAAAAACTGTCCACCAGGGAGCAGCAAAACCAAAGACAAGAGGCCAACAACATCCAATAGGTCCGTTTATCTGAAATGGATCCAGAAATGGAAAATTTGCAGTTTGAGATCAAGGCAGCGCTGTACCAACTTGCAGCCAGTGATTTAATACAAATATGTGACTTTCTCATGATATCTGGTCATAATAAAGAAAATGTAAAAGGAAAAACACGCAATGCCTTATCGTCACATATTGTCAAGCATATTGAGCGTGATGAACTGCGCACCCTGGAAGATGAAGGTATGTCAGAGATGTTGAGTTTACTGGACACAATAAAGATACTGCAACAGCCAGCAGAAGAACCTGAAACGACAATCAAAGAGGCTGAAGACCAAGACAAGTTAATGAGAGAAATAGAACATTTAAAATTGATGGTACAGCAAAAGGAAGCTGAAGTAAAAGGAAATGTAAAGACAAATCCAACGGACATGACAGTGAATAGTGTTCATGGGTCAGTTTACGCCACCGCTAATGCAAACCCTGTGCAGTGGCGAAAAGATTTAAAAATCTCAGGGCAAATTGGTGAACCTGGGCAAAAAGACAGGCTTACCTTCTCCAGCCTCGCCCGCCAAATTGAGAGTAGTCTCACTAAAGGTTACCCTGAATTAGAAATAGTTGATGCTGTGGTTAGAGCTGTCGTCCCCGGCCTTCAGCTGCGGAGCTACTTGGAGGGTAAAAATGACTTGACTGCCAACACTCCGGAGAATTCTGCGCTCACACTATCAAGAACGAAGTGCAACAGAGTTATATAAGCAGCTCGCAGCAGAAGTGCAAAACTGTAAAGAGACTCCACAAAATTTTATCATTAGGACGATGGATTTGAGACAGAAAATACTATTTGCATCACAGGAAGCTGAGTCTGGCCTTAAGTATGATCCTGCATTAGTACAGAGCCTGTTCATGCATTCAGTTCTTACTGGATTGCAAAACGATAATATCAAGACAGATCTCCAGCCATATCTTATGCAAACATCTACTGCTGATGAACTGCTCCTGGAACGTGTCAACATTGCTTGTGGCAATGAGAAAGAAAGGCAAGACAAAAAGAGACAGACTTTATCCCGCCAAACCACGGTGCACGCTGTGCAGTCATGTGACTCCACTGATGAAGGCAAGAAGTACACAACTCGACCAAGTGCTGCCACACTACATCCGGAGGTACTGTCTGATCTAAAAGAAATAAAAGCAGACATTGTACTCTTAAAAGACCTGAAGGCGGAAGTGACGCAAATTAGAGAATCAATCAAAAAAACTGAGAATACACCCCATCCGTATGGGAGCGAAGATCAAGTAGTTCTCTACCGGCCCCATCATCAGCCACAGTACAGATCTTGGGGCACTGAGTATGCATCGGCTGACCGCCGCCCACCTGAAGACCCGGAGCCGAGGTACCGCCCCACCCACCGTCCATGGATCAACGCGGGTACATCCCAGTTCCAGCAGGGCTATGCACCGCAGGGGTTTCCAGCGCCACGCCCTCGACCAAGGTGTTCCAGCTGCCGTGAGCGGGGAGAAGAATTCTGCCAGCATTGCTTTCGGTGCGGGAGCAGTGAGCACTTCCGAGCAGGATGCAGGGGGTATATGCCATCCAACAACATGCGTGGCCAGTATTTAAACGGAGAGCGGTTACCCCCAAGGGACAGGGAGTAACCAGTGTGTCAACACAGTCCCAAACATGCATTACTTGTAGGACAGAGGGAACAGATCAAAACCTTCAGCAATGCTCAGTGTGCAAAGTAGTGCTTTACTGTTCTAGTAAGTGCCAGATTAGCCACTGGCCTGAGCATAGGGAAAACTGTAAACCATTTGCACCTACTAAACTAGTAAAAACAACAACACATTCCTATGGTGCGGGAACAAACAAACAAAATATTTTGACAGAGAAACATCCAACAGTAACTGAACTTGTGGGAAAGAAGTGTCTAATTAACTGCAGTCTGCAGGGCATCACAACTCAGGCCCTTTGGGATACGGGGTCACAAATATCTGCTGTAGATGAGGGATGGAAAACCACATACCTGCCCGGCATAGAGTTGAGACACATAACAGAACTAGTTGATCCAAATGATCCTTTACAAATTGAAGC